TCTTTCTCTGATTGACTTATTTCACTCAGCATAACACCTTCCAGTTCCATCCATGTCGTTGCAAATGGCAAGATTTCATTTTTTGATGGCTGCATAATATTCCATTGTATATATATACCACATCTTTTTATCCATTCATCTGTTGATGGACATCTAGGCTCTTTCCATAGTTTGGCTATTGTGGACATTGCTGCTATAACACTGGGGTGCATGTGACCCTTCTGATCACTACACTTGTATCTTTGGGGTAAATACCCAGTAGTGCGATTTGCAAACAAATTTTTAAGGAATGACTCATTTACGCGTGCCTTTAAACCTAGTCTTCCTGAATTAACCCTAAGAAGATAATTTGTGGCTCCAACAAAAGGAACTTCCTATATGGACGAGCAAGTTCACCAGGAATACTCTAAAAGGTACCCTCTCCTTCTTATCCTGCTCTAATTTTCAAGGTGTAGAACTAGTACTTTCATCACAGAAGGGTAACACATACTCAAAGTGAGCAATAATAAGCACAAGAGTCAAAAACCCTAGTTTTAAAGGGACTTGTCTTCCCTTCTTCAATATGTAAATGTACAAATAACTTCTTTATAGGAAGAATGCTACTAAATTGCTTTTAGGTGTCAAACAGGACACTGCTTACAGCAAAGTACAATAAAGAATTTCTGTAAAGCAAACAATCAGGAAAATATATCATTACCTGAGAACAGAGAAGACCCTTGCCATCTTGCCAATTGCTCGAATTTTGTTTCTTATGATTTCTTTCCGGGCTGCAGCTGAACCTACTTTCAATGGAATAAATAGAAAAAAAGACTCAAGTTTAGGGCATCCACACTTGTACCATTCTATTACTCTATACCACGCTCATCTTAACCAACACCAAACTCTCTGCCACCAGAAAGCCTCTCACTCCTTCAATGTTTAGCTCAGCCCTGGTCTAATACTGGGGTCTGATACAGATACAAATGAAAAGTAATCCACAAACATTATGACTCTCACACTACTGCTAATCATTAAAATAGCAATGGGAAAGAAACTAGAACCCAACTTGTATCACAAACCAGAGAACAAAAAAAAAAAAAAAAAAGGCTAAGAATCCTATAGTCTTTGTTTAATTCTCATGAGGGCCAATGCATGCAGACTAACAAACAAGAATTGGTAACAACTATACAACTCTGTATAGGCCTCTGTTTAACTATTATAAAAGCCTCTGACATGCAGGCTGGAAATATCCCATCTTACTATGACAGAGTAAGTTCTTTATTCTAAGTGGGTTTAAAAACAATGGTATGAAATAACTACTGTGCAGACGACGCTGAACTAAGGACGATACCAGCATATCAACAATACCACACATCTTAATCTCATGGAATAAATGTCCTCAAGGTCATGCAAATATATACAAGCTCTTACACTCCTAAGGTGAGTATGACACAAGGAGAGTGAACAATGAGAAAGATTCCCCAAAAAACACGGCTAAAGGATCACTCATGTTTCCTCTCTAAAGGGTTAGCTATACTGCCTATCACTGATACAGAAGAGAATGTATCAAAATAACTCCATCTTCAGCTGAAGAAAAACTCAAAGTTGTATCTTCCTTCCCTTGGCCTCCAGAAAGAACAGCAACAATCTCAGTCCTGTTATATATAGCAACTAGAATCACTCTGGACCCAAGAGTGTGGTTCCTTAGAGCTGTGCTTCAGCATGATGAAAACACATATAGAAGCACCACGGTTGAGGAGAAAGTTAAGGAAAGGCTAAAGAGACTAGACTAAAAGGGGCCATGGATATACAGAGGTCTGAACAACCATAAGTCTTCTAGGCTAGAGCATCTCATTTAAAATTCAAGCAGCCCCCAAACACCATATAATTAAAAACTAAGATGATGACTGGACCTTACTGCAAGGAAACAGAAAAGAAATCCAATTTCAAAGACAAAAACAAAAGACATATTTTAGAGAAAATAGGCTCCAGGACTGTTTATGATGCTCTAAAGGGTAATATTACGAGCACTGAAGCTTCAGCTTTTGCAAGTTCAAAACTGCGTAGGTACTATGGTACTACACAGCTATTTTTAAGACGCCAAAAATAATTACTAAAAGTCTCAGAATCATAAAACATTAGAATTTGAAGAGATATTAGGAATATTGCAAAGTTTAATCTCCTCATTTTTGAGACAAAGAAACTAAGTTTATTAACTGTTTTGTCCAAGGACATAAGGTAAGTCTGATTTCTTTGAGTGAATTAAGATAAACATTGTTTTAAAATTGACAGAATTTTAAAAACAGCTAGACTGGGGGAGAGGAGGATGGGGATGGGAGAGGATGGCTGCAATGAGGTACATTCATATTTTCAGCCTTAATTTATGTATCTGTAAAACTGAATAATATGTAAACTATACTGACTTCAAATTTTAAAAAATCACTGGACTATAAAAACACTATACAAGTCAGGATTTTAAATCAGTCTACAAACACATCATGCATAATATTAAAGTAAATGTCCACAGTAAGATTACTCTGGGGAATAAGACAGACAATCAAACACCCCTAATCATGCAGGGAAAAGTACAAAACATTACAAATAAGCAAAAGAATGAAGTTTTAAAACAAGAGGAATGAAAAAGAGGGAAAAATATTTCCATGCACAGAAAGACAGAAATCTTGGAATATGACTTCTAAAAACATCAAATTCTATCTCAGATAGCACTTACACTAAATTTGCACAAGGCCCAAAAGGACTCTGCATAAATAGTACTCAATGAATGTGCTAACTTACATGGACATGAGGATAACTTATGAAGTCATATTTCAAAACAGTATTACTCTGTCTGGTCTGTACCTTTTTTATTGCCATATATGAGCCGTTCTTCAGATGGAGAGTCCAGAAAAAAGGAAGTGAATGATGGAGAAAAGGTGGTTGAGACAAATAAAAAGATAGAGATTTAACTTGGCAGTGGTACTGAAGAATGAATGTAGAAAGAAAGGGAGAAAAATGAAGGCCCTCATATTCGAAATTTGAAAAATGTAGTACTGTAGGATCTGGTGAATAAAAGAGGGATGCCACTAGGTAGAACTCTAAAGGAAAGATTTCTTAAAAGGTATGTGTTCAGAAGAAATTATGGACAGAATGACTATAATATTTGATGGAAGTAGACAAATTAGGGACAGAAAAAAAACACGTGAAAACACATAAGACTGATAAAAGACTGTGCAAACAACAATCGCACATTTATATTGATACCCCTAAGGAAATGTGTCACCCATGGGAGTATGTTAAGTGAAGGGTAATGACACAAATGATATACAAACTCATGTGGTTCTTCAAGGACACCAACACTGGCAAAATCTATAGTATATACAGAGAAATGTAGGTAACTTTATCAACTACCTCAGTGGAAAATCTTACCCACTTCGAATAACGGAAAGGCTAAGCCTCCCACACTCCATAAATAACAAGAACACATAATTTCTTGAATCTGAATGTAGAACTTTTGCACATACTCAGGATCAACAGTATGTGCTTTCTGTTCCCAATCCAATCTGGGAGCTTGAGGGACATCTTTTTGCAGAAATAGCAACAGATTGTTTCAAAGCAAGTAATAGTTCTAAGAGGAGGCAGCAGAAATGTTTCATTTGAGCTTTCCATATCTTCCATTCTAATGCAGAGATACATGATTCCATTATAGGAAATGCAAAGTTTTAGTTTAGTAAAACTGTAAAACATGTGGATTATGTATTTCCTTTACCAAACTCAAGACAAAAGATAAATATCTGAAAGAAACAGTATGCATTCTAAATATCACAGAAATCAGTGTTCAGAAATTCTCTTTAATGATTAAATACCTCTAAAAGGAATGCTACTTGCACTTATACATGCAATGTTTATGCAAATTTTTGCCTTTAAAAATAACTCCACATATACATTAAACAATACAGAATACCAAAGATTATCACTTAAGAAGAAAGTCTTATTCCTTTACCCAGTCTCAGCCTTAAATATGCAAAAACTATTCTTTCCTTCCTGCCACTGGGATAGCTCCATTCCTGCTCTCTCCCTTTCCCCACAAAGAAGCTAAACTTTTATTCAGCCTCCACAGCAATCCCCACGCCACCAAGTTTTCTTTCTAAGTCAGATTTCTCCCCATGCCCAGCTCATTGGATGGTTCTACTGCTGAGTAGGAAAAGGGGAAGGAAAGGACGAAAGGCATGCTATCATGGTGAAAGGAAAGGAGAAAAGATGTACAGAGTTAAGGGAAAGAAGTACAGGAATGTGATTAAGGAAGGGAAATAAACCCAGTTCCAGTAGCTCTTTTCCCTATCCCATCCTAGTATCTATTCTAATCTCCTCCCATTTCCTCCATTCCTCAGTTGTCTCCCCAAACCATTCTCATTCCTCCATACAAACTCCCAGATTCATATTCTTAAAATTTTCTTGGAGTCTCTACTCCTAATACTTGGTATGGAAAGGTGAAGAAATGAGGAGTAATTATACCTGCTATGTTGGCAGTGAAGGGAGATCTATTTCATTCAAAGCTGGAACTCAGTGTATTTTCACATAGAAACACTGTCATAAATGACAGCTTACCAATTTTTAAAATTATTTCCTTTCTATTCCTTCAATCCATGGATGAGAAAGAAGATCCTGGGAAGTTAAGAAACTTCTCCCAAGATTACACAGCTAGCATAATGATAACACCAAGATACCTAGACCATTGATCCTTTTCACTAAACTATACCACCTCTTTAATGATCAAACTTAATTCATCTCTGGAGTGCAAGAGTGATATTAACAAGTGGATAAATAAGCATAATTTATCATTGAGAGGAAAATGTTGATTGGATATGTAAATCTCATTTGGAATATAATAAAAATTTATACGTATTCCCGGTTGAATCCCAAAAATGATTGTCTATCCTCATATAAATCATAAGTATCTAAACCAACTGTAATAGACTTAACAAGGAAATTTTTTTATAGGAACAGGACTAAAGCATTACCTATCATCACTCCTATTTAAAATACTATTAAAAAACTATTAATATTGATACAAATTTGTTAAAAAAAAGAAATAAAGGTAAAATGTAGAAAAATAAGCAACAAGCCTTATGCAAATGACATTTTTAAAAGGAAAACAAAATAAAAATTACCACAGGAAATAATTCTGCTGATCCAAGTTGTCATAAGATAAACCCACTAATACATAATATATACCTTATACACAAAAAATATGTTAAGAGATACCAGTTGTAATAAGGATAAAAAATACTATAGTATTAATTTAACTTGATAATAACAGATTTTTTACAGAGAAAAACTATGTGATTTTAAATGGAATAACTACATTAAATATATTAAATGCAGTAATTATAGTAAATGAACTAATTATATATAGCAACAGATCTTGATCTTAGTTTAGAAAACTAAATATTAAAACAAAACTTCCTAGATGCAGGTATGGATTTAATGAGATACCAATTAAAACTGCTACTTGATAGTTCACAGAATTTGACATATAACGGAAAACTTTATCTGAAGAAATCAGTGAACTATGAACCAAAAATTATTTCAGTCATTATATCAATACCTGTAAGATTATGAAGTAGGTACTATTATCTTCATTTTGAAGATAAAAAAACTGAGACTCAGAGAAGCGAAGTAATTTGCCTGAGGTCATATAGCCACTATGAGAAACTAGAATCTGAACCCAGACCTAGTCTAACAAGAGAAAAGGGAAAAGGTGGCAGAATAGGGAAAAAATATTTAATTGTAACTACTTAAAAATTTTATGTAAAAGACAAATATAATGAAATATCGGTAGAGCTAAAACTTCTACACAAACAAAAGGAGAATTATAATTAAAAAAATAAATATTACTCATTAAAACCTATTATCCAAACCAAAAACGAATGCATATAATTTATTTCAGTTAACAAAACTATAAACCAGAGTAAAAAGCACATCTCTGCTTGCCACCAACAGATGGCAATAACAGACACTTGTACACAGTCACTTTGTACTTTTAACAAATGGGCTTACAAAAGTGTTTAAGAATTAAACCTGTTTGTAAGCAAAGAAACTTCTAAATAGTTTTTACTCAGATTGTACTTAATAAGTAGTCAAATGAGATATACAGTTTATACACTTGAAAAAGTAGACAGTAATTTTTTTAATTAAAAATCATTAGAAAATCAAAGAAATGTAAATTAAACCAAGTGTAATTCACTACTATGTAGCCACCAAGCAAAATAAGTAAAAATGACCAAAACCCAATGAAGTGGGCCTGTGGAGAAAGAGGTCTATGGATTCATTGCTAAAAGTACTTCATATTGGTCCAATTCTTCTGCAAAGTAATCTGGCAGTGCATAGTTAAAATAACGAAGCTAAAACATACATTTAACTCTGTAATTCTCTTCAAGAAATTTATCCCAAGAAAACAACTATTGTACAAACATATGTATTGCATGCTATTCATAATAAGGATAACTGAAAGCAACCCAAATGCCAAACAACATGAGATTAACTATGAAAATTATGGTAAATTATTTAGAAATATGTAGCTATTAAGTTGTACCAATATGTAGACCATGTTTAATATATGGAAACAATTATATACTGATTAAAACTATGAAAAGAATGCTGCAACAAAGATTCAACAAAGATGAGGGGCACACAGAAGGAAATAAAGAGTTCTCAGCTTTAAGTTGTTTATGTTTTTGTTTCTCAGTGACTTCAATTTTAAAAAATATTTAAATTTAAAAGTTTTAAATTAAAAAAAGTTTTAAATAAAAATTTCAAGACATAAAGATAAAAGGAATTTTGTTTTTATGGTATTAAATTATACTATGACTGTACATCAGTACATAGGCTGGTTGGCTTACATAAGAACAAACAGCCATATCTAACCTTGTTTCTATGGAAAAGATGCTTCTGAAAATCACACTAAACCAGTAAGTGGTCTCTTAGAACACAACCACTCATAAGTTGGGAACAGCTTACTTTATTTAGTTTTTGGGAAAAAACAGTGACAATAACATTGCAGGTTCAGGTATGTTTCTGATGCACTAAGACTGTACCAATGAAACAAAAAGCATTTTTATCCTCCCTCTAAGTAGTGTCCATATTCATGAAGAACCACATTCTTTAGTACTTTCAATTTTCTTTTCCTTCTGTTCTTCCAAATTTCCCTTTTCCCAAAATTCATCTTCCCCATACCAATAGAAAAAAAGTAAAATCGCTAAAAAAAAAAAAAATCTTAGAATAAACAGCAACTGAAAAAGTGTCTTGACATTTATCAAATGGCACAGTCATTTGAGAACAATGACTACATTTTGCAAAAGAGTGTGTATTGAAGCTGGGCAATTAAAAGATACCATTTCACAATAAAAAATAGTAAAATGAATAATCATACCATCAAACTGGTCTTCACCTTCAGTCATCAGTTCATCATCAGAGCAAATACTCAGAACATTTACCAACATTTCTGTCACTATTCAAAAATGAAAAAAGAAAAAAGAACAGTTACACGTTAGTGGACCAAATTCAACTGTCTATATGTACACACACCAATTATTCATATAATGGTCAAATGATTTTTAACCCAAGAAGAAATACATTCTGATAGCAAGAATGAAGAAACTAAAAAATACCAAGGTTTGAGGCACCTAGGTGGCTCAAGTCGGTTAAGTGTCCAACTCTTTGTTTCGGCTCAGGTCATGGTCTCAGGGTCTTGAGCCGGAGCCTGGAGTTGGGCTCCAAGCTCAGCATGGAGTCCGCTTGGGATTCTTTCTTCCTCTCCCTCCCTCTCTGCCCTTCCCTCTGTGCACACTTGCTCTCTCTCTCTCAAATAAATAAATAAATAAAATCTTAAAAAAAAAATACTAAGGTCTTCAAAATGAAAGAAATTCAATGGTTTACAAGTTTTGAGAGAGATTCTGTACAGAATAAGTTTTCAGGTCTCTCAGGAAAAAAAAAAAAA